TGCTGTGTGTCATTTATTATGTGATTGGATTATAAAGTCTGTAAAAATTATGTGTAAGATTGAATTCCACAACCAATAAACGAAAAGAATTTTTACATAAAAGATTATAAGTCTGAGCAATTACATTGCTCTGTGTATCTTTGCGTTTAAATACACAATACCTTTCAGCCATATGGTTTTAGATAGACATCACTCAGATTGCAAGGCATTTTAAACTATAACAGTTTTTCTGACCTTGTAAATACTCAGCTCCTAGACTTGGCAAACCAGATCTTTTTAGACAGGTATTCAGGTGTATGCTGACATGCTGGGACCTGATTTAACTGCTGTTAGAGCAGTTTTCAAATCTGTTTGAAACTTTTATATGTGCCCGCTTCCATGTGTTCCATTGCTTCTGAAAGCTGTAAACATCAGTCTCTCTACTTCATTTTGCTTATGTAATAAATAGCAATGTTGACATTTTCTGCCGAAAGTTTATTGGCAGCCTGGCAGTTGATAAAAGCTGAAGTATAAGTTGTAACAAAAATAAATAAATTTAGGCAAGGGAATATAAGCATGATGGAATTAATTATATATGTTGCAATTTAGATGCGTTCAGTTTTAGTGAACATGCTAGAACAGGAAAAATAAGTCTGCCTTTAGAGTTCATAAAAACTACAAAATGTCTGTATTATAGACCCAGTTTTTGAAGGGTTCTTCTGGAAGGCTGAATTGTGTATTTAAAAACAGTCTGAAGGTAGTATATGGCTAAATTCAGTTAAAAAAAAGTTCACTTAGTCTTCTCACCCTTTAAATTAGTGATGAAACTGTTGTTTACTTCCCTGAACACTACAGTATAAATAGGTTTGAATCATAAAGGAAGATTCAAAAAATTACGGAGTTAAAAAAAAAACCCAGAACAATTCTACCAGTAATACTCATTAGCATAAAACAAAGGACTTTAGCTGCAAAATTTAAAAGTTTGAAGAAATGTGTCTCAGCATATGTTTAGGTAGACTGAGTCAATGATCAGTAGTTTGCCTACCTCTAGGAAAATTAAAATGACAAAACTGCTTTTATCAGACCATTGAGGATTTCCCAGGACATCTGGGGATAGGAAGTATAACTGTTCTCTTTTAGCTTTGAAGCAAGACTCATGTTCAGTTCTTACTGAGATTGGTAGATGACGCATTTTTAAAATTTATTGATGTCATCCCATCATTTTCCCTCAAGAAAGTGCTTCAACGAGTTCAATTTGACAAGAACATATTAAGCACCTGCTTACTGAACAAGGCTCTCAGAACACCGAGGCAAAAATGAACGTGGTTCCTGCCTTCTTGGTACTCACATTCCCCTGAGCAGAGTGGACCGTTCAGCGTGGAACACAAATCGCATTTATGTGTCTTGTGGCGAATTGAGTGGTGTTCATCAGCTGTCGGATAACAGCAACATGTCTTCTGTTTTTTACTTTTATTTCAAAGAATCGGATACTTTATGATGCTGAAAAAAACAAGATAGTCCTGAAAGGAAGCTAATTCTTTGTGTTCTAGATTTAGCATTTCCAGTGATAGGATACTTTCACTTAGGGCTGCTTTGAGGAAGGCTCTATGTCATTGTGAACTCCTGTTATTCTTATTTCAACACCAGCATTATGAGCAGATTCCATTTTGTCTTACAAAAGCCTGAAGAAGTAAAAGCTTTCCAGATATATTTAAAAATTGTTCTAAGTAGATTTAGATTATGGCCTTAAAACCACTAATCAAACGTTTCCCCCTAAGGCAGACTGGTAGAATGTTTGCAAAATAGATACGTATATGTACAAACCTTGCCAAATCCTGAATAATATAGTGCCTAGCAATTTTCATGATGATGCCAAGTATTTCTGGTGTGACCTCACCGAGAAAGTGAATTTTATTCTTCCTGCTTGTAAAGGTGTTCAGTTAGTCATTATGCTGTTATTAAACACTAAGTGCCAGGCGAAAAACATGGTTCCTGCCCCCAAGGAGCTTACATTCTAAGGGGCAAGAATCTGTTAGAGCCCATGATCTTGCTTTATATCATAAAAATTTGAAAGACAAAGCCACAAATAGTATCACTGAGTGTATCAGCAGTGGGGCCTTATTAAGAGGTCCTCAGGCTTTCCACTGAATCCATTCAAGCTTAGTCTGAGCTCTTCTCTCCTGCATATACTTGTGGGATGAATGTGGTAAATGTTGGCAGGAACTCTTCAGGTTTTCCCGGTCCTCGAGGAGGCTATAGATTCCTGTCATCCCCCAGACACACGTACACACATACCATCAATCACCACCACATTCTAAGAAAAAGGATTTAATTAATTAATTTTTAGTTTTCAACATTCACTTCCATAAGATTTTGAGTTTTAAATTTTCTCTCCTCCCCCCCCACTCACCATGCTGGCCAACAATCTGATATAGGCTCTACTTATACATTCATATTAAGCATGAAGAAAAAGGATTGAGGAACCATATTAATTGCTCAATTTTTAAAGAAGCAAAAAGAAAATTAAAAAAGAGACCATATTGCCAAAGGTAATAGTTTCCAATCTCAATGGAAGGTTCTAGAGAGGAATCTCAGAGGATCGTCTGGAAGAATCTCATCACAAAATAATACCACCAGGCCCCAGGATTTTTGTCTGTCCGATACAAGTTTCCTACATAGGTCTCAGAGGAATTTGATAGACATGTTGTGTGGACTCCTACTCTCTAACCAGGCAATTTTGCCATTTAGTTGACTTAATTTAATTTTAGAGTCTTTCTTTTTTTTCTTAGGTGACTTCATTTTCAAATCTTTGAATGTTCTGATTTAGTTGGCTTAAATGATTTGGTATCTTTACAGAAAACCTTCCTATTTGAATGTAAAACAAAAGAACTTCAGAAAAATTTGGTTGGTTTTTCAGTTTTGTGAACAGGACACATTCCTTGTGTTTTTCTGGTTAGTATTTACTAAATAAATAGTAAAGGGTTTGTTTTGTTGCTGCGGTGTTTGGAACGTGGGAAAGTTAGAAAAACATCATGAAAATGGCCGGCTTTGTGTGTGATTAGATGGATGAATGCTGGTCTTTTTTGTGGAGGGGTTCACTGCCTGAATGTGAGGTTTTTGGCTTTTCCTTTATTTTAAAAACATACCAACAAACCGATTGATTTCAAGGTAATTAGTACTGATTCCCAAGAATCTTTCTTGCTTTGTTGAAGTAAGGACTTTGGAGAAATTGATTTGAAGACAAGGAATCTTAGGTTGAAAAATTTCAGAAAAGTATTGCCAGCATAGGTTATACAGAGTAGGTGTGATTCTATGTGTGCCTCTTGTTAATGTGGCATTGAAACTGCATGCCAGCTTAAGATTTCTGTGGAGGCTTTTTCACAGTAGGATGTCTTACTGTGTAATTTACAAGTGTTAAATGTTTTCTCTAAGATTGGGCTTGGTGTTCTTGAGACTACCAGGACAGTCTCCCATTAAGAGAGGCTTATGTGAGTATATTTGTAGAATATACTCATGGAAGAATTTTTTAAAGGTTAGTACAGCTGCATCCCCCAAATAATAATATTGCCTACCACCAGCTTGTTTTTCTCTTTGATGGACAGCCCCCTAAGATAATATTTTGTCTACCACCATCTTGTTTTTTCTCCCTGATAACAAGCCTCTAAAATCATATTTGGCCCTGATCCCTTATATGCAACCTGACCTGCTCTAGGGTGGGGCCCATCCAAAATCAGAGTATAAGGACCCCACACTCAGAAGGGCACTTTACAGCACACCCTTCCCTCTAGCAGGAGCATGCCTTCCCCTGGAGCACCCTGTTCCTGCTGCCTGTACACTGTGCTCCCCAACATAGTGCTGCCCTTATGTGTTAGACTCTGTGTTGTGTGTATGCCTGAGCTGTATGTTGGACCCCCTTTTCCTCTCTTCCTTTCCCTCTCTTCCCCATTACTTGCAAGAAAAGTTTGCATTGAACCAACTTCCACTGTTTTGCATGTTATTCTCAGATGTCCCTGGCTGGCCCTTGGGGCCTTTCCTTAAACATAAGCTGTGTACCCAGGCAAGGACTTAACCAATTGACAGCCACTCCTGCCCTGGGGGTTAGGGGCCTGACTGAGAGCCCAGCTGTGGGAAGTGAGGATCAATAAGAGAACCCAACATCTTCCCAAGAGGGACTCCTTTTTGCCAGAGAACTGTTGCAATATAATATTGCATAATTATTTTTTTTAGTCGGTGTTTTCGCAGTCATCTATTATCTCTCCATGTTTCCTTTTTTCCTCACCAGCATAGATTTTATTTTGATACATTTTGTTTTGAAACCACACTTTGCAATAAATACTCCAAGAGTATCTTTCCTTATTAAAAAGGAAGCTTTATAAAACTGCTTAATATGGTAATTGAGGCTGGCAGCACGTCACTTTTTACTCTCAGATCTTAACTGAAAGGAAATATATTTAACATTAGTCATCTGGAATCAGCATTGGCCACTGTATTGACCTGCATTCTATTGGTCTTTAAAAGCTGTTTTTATTTATATTGTTATAGTTGTGCATTTTATTCTTTTGATTCTGCTTTCTTTTTCTGTATCAGCTCATAAAAGTTTTCCCACATTTTTCTGAATTATTTACTCCTTAGTAGTGTAGCAGTGGTCCATATACATACTATAATTTGTTTAGCCGTTCCCCAGTTGATCAGCACAGAATTATTTCCAGACTCTTGCTACTATAAATAGTGCTGCCATCATTATTTTGATTCACACGGGACTTTTCTTCCTGTTGAGTACTCTGATGTTTAAACCTAGTCATAGGATAATTAGATTGAAGGGAAGAATGAACCATGTAGTCATTTTTCTTAGCACCATATTATTTCCCAGAACAGCTGGCTCAATTCACATCAGAACCAAGTCTGTTAGAGTTCTTTTCTTCCCAGTTTCTTTAACCGTTTCTTTTACCATCTTTGCCAGTTTGAAGATTTTCCTATAATACGTGTTTCTGTAATGTTTATACTGTATCATTTTCTTTCAGTTGGATATGCCAAATAATGAGATAGCTGCTAATCTGGAAGCAGTCATCACTGATGTCTGCAGGCACAAACCGCAGAGTAGTGGTAAGTTATTTGATATGTGCAGACCTTATGATACTGTGTATATACTGAAAATTTAAAGGAGATAACCAGCATATCTTAACGTCATGACAGTGCCGTAGATGAGAAGCACGTTGGGTGAATGTCTCTGGAGGATCCATGAAGTACGTGGTCAGGAGTCATCCAGAAGGAGAAGGCTTGGGTGGGTCGCAGTGTGGACCCGTGGAGGGACTGTTCTCATCAGTGATACCACGAATCCATTGAATAACAATGAATAATAGTCCTAGTGGAGTTGGGCATTTGGTGGGCCTCCATAAATACTTAATTGAATTCTCCAAAAGATCCCTTGCTAGTTCAAGGCTCTTTTCTTCTCCTCTTTGCCTTCTACTTGTTGTGTATACCAGTACACAATTGGCAATTTTTGTGACAGGGCTGTTGTTGAAAAGATGGAAGCTTGTGGGCTAAACAGTAGTACAGCTCCAAGGATTCAGAGCTGGTCAAAGATTAGTTGTTGGGGTTTGGTGTCAGTGCAGGAGAATCCATTGGAGTGCCTTAGGAATCGACGCTTGGCTCTGCGGCCACTCGATGCCTCCACTTCCTGTTCTCTTATTCACCTGTCCATCCTTTGCACTATGTTTTCCAGCCTCATCATTCAATTGAAACTGTTCTCTCCAGGGTTACCATTGATCTGCCGATGATCAAATCTAATGGTCTTTTCCCAGTACTCATCCTTTTGGACCTCTCTGCAGCATATGAAAGCATTGACATCTTCCTCTTGAAAACCCTCCCTTCTCTAGGTTTTTGTGACACTGCTTTCTCTTGGTTGTCCAACTGTCTGTCTAACCATGCTTCATTGGCCATCTTTGCTGGTTTGTTGTCTGTGTTGTACAGTCTAACTCTGAATGTATCCCACAATTATTTCTCTCTCTCTCTCTCTCTCTCTTTCTCTCTTTTTTGGCTTTTTGGTGAGGCAGTTGGGGTTAAGTGACTTGCCCAGGGTCACACAGCTAGTAAGTGTCAAGTGTCTGAAGGCGGATTTGAACTCAGGTCCTCCTGACTCCAAGGCTGGAGCTCTATCCACTGTGTCACCTTGCTGCCCCTGTTTTTTCTCATGTTTTGAACTCCCTACTTCTGTCAAGTGTGTCACCATCCTTTCAGCCTTTCAGGTTCACAATTTTAGCTCTATCCTTCTCTCCTTATTTTCTCACACCTTCCATATCCAATCATCTGACAAATTGTCTGTTTTGCGGTAATGTAACAATCATGTTTTATAAACAAATCTGTACTTAAAATTCAGATTTTTGATCTTCTAGCTTAACCAGCCACTATCTCATCTCTCTTACCTCTCATCTTTCTTGCTGTTTGATTTCTTTCTTTCCTTTTTTTTTTGGTCTAGGTAGTGGGGTTAAATGACTTGCCCAGGGTCACACAGCTAGTAAGTGTTATGTGTCTGAGGCCAGATTTGAACTCAGGTCCTCCTGACTCCAGGGCCAGTGCTCTATCCACTGCACCACCTAGCTGCCCATATGTTTAATTTCTTGAAAAGGATGTTCGTGCACTAAAATTCTGATCGGTATAATGACCAGTTTTGACTGGAGAACTGACAGTGTTGCATGTCTCCCTCCCTCTTCTTAGGAGGGAGATGGAATAAGACCTGAAGGGCCCCTAGGGTGGTCAGGGCTTTTGAGGCCATGTCATATGGCCAGCAGTTAAAGGCACTGGGCTGATGAGCTAGAGAAGAGAAGTCTCAGGGTGGGCGTGATGGCTGTGTTTAGATATTGAAGGCCGTCACATGGAAGGAGGATTCTCTTTGGCCCTGAAGGGCAGAGCCAGGAGCATTGTGGGGAAGGTCTGAAGAGAGGCATTTAAGCTTGATGTCAGGAAAATCTTGCTAATGACTAGTGCTGTTCAGAAGTGGACTGGGCTGCCCTGAAAGGTGGTGGGTTCCTCCTTGTTGGAGGTCTTAAGGCCGGGCCAAACGACCACTTATCAGGCGTGCTGTAGGGGGATTCTTTTTGTGTGCACTTTGGACCCCATGTAGGACCGCTGAAGTGACCTCTGACTCTCAGGGCTGTGTAGTTCCTTTGTTGGTCATCTCTGACTCTTCCCTGTCACCTTTCATGGCCAGTCAGTTCCCGGGGCCCTGTGAGGGTCCCTTCTGCAGCATCACTCACCTCACCCTGCTGTCCCCACGCTAGCACAGCCCAGTGTTCCCAGCCCCCTGATTGTTGCTGCTCCAGCCTCCCCGTAGATCATCCTGCCCCCGTCTGTCCCTCTTCCAGCTCACCTTTTATGCTGCTGCTGAAATAAACTCTCGGATACATAAATTTGGCCGTGTCGCTTCCAATCAAAACTCTCTTGTGCCTGCTTCATGGCTGCCGAATGAGGGCCAGAGTCCTCTGCGTAGCATCCAGAGCTCTCTGCAGCCTCGTGCTATGCTTCCATTCCACCTTTCCCCATTTTCCTGCCCTCCAAGTACGTCACGCTCCCACCAAACTAGTCTCTTCTACGGACCTGCCGTGCCCTTGCTCACAGTGTTTTCTGTGCTTCGAATAGAATGCCTTGACTTTCCCAGGCTGAATTCTTCCCTATCTCACCTCAGGCACCACCTTCTACACAGAGTCTTCCCTAATTCCCCCAATGTGCCGCAATCCTGTCAAATGAATATGTCTTGGGTTTCTCTGTGATCTTATCAAGGCGGGTGTTCCCGTAACAGCCCTTCTGTGCTAGCCCCCTGATGCCTTGTTACCCGCGTCTGTGCCATCTTGTCATCTCACCATTGGCGGCCCAGCCAGCTCTGGGGGCCCTTCCTCACTTCTCTTGCTTTCAGGAAGGTGTTAGTAGAGCACACCAGCTGTCCGATAATTATCTACGAGTTTGGCCACTTGACCAGCTCATCTTTTTTTTTTTTCCATCATGCATTTCTTTGATGACATCGTTTACTTAAACTAGCAGTACAGTTCTGGCTAGCTTATGCTGACCTGAAGTCAAGTGTTCCTTTGGGGAAAAAAGGTCATTTTTAAAGGAAGCTACCACTTGGTCGATCACATTTCAATTTTTCTATTTTCAGAGAGTGGTGGCAAAGTAGCAGCTGTGCTGAATGTTTAAAATAAATATTTACAATCTTTTCACTTAATGTGACTATCACCACCTGCTCCCTTCTCTATTAACTTTGTAATAAAATGAAATTTGGGTGTATATCATCTGGGAAAGAGATGAATTGCTTGGTGACCACAAGGACATTTAAGGACAAATCACTTTTAGTCATAAGGCCAGTTTGTCTTGTATGCTAAAAAGGAAGTCTTTTTTTAAAAAAGACACTTAAAAATGGTTTAGAATTATAAACAATTCAGTAAATACCAGTATCTTACAGTTGAATATAATTTGGTGGTGAATGTTACTTATTGTATATCAGCATATAGATAGCAAGTATATATTGAATATAACAAATTTTGTTTTATTTGTTTCCAGGACCTTTTGTGGTACGTGCATTTCTTCGTAGTTCAACAAGTGAAGGATTATTAATAAAGATTGCACACTTATTACCTCAAGAAGAAGTAAAAGCAGAAGAAAGTATTAAAGAAAGTTTCTAAAAAATTCCATCTTGTGAAATGACTTTTATTGAATTTAATAACTTGCAGATGACATTCAATGTGACTTCAAAATAAATCACTTATTTTCATCCTTGAAAGTAAATTTTATGACCCAGATCCTCAGAATAAGGAGTAATGTATTTAAATAACCCAGTCTCAGAAAAAGAAATTTAATGAGTCATAAAGGAACTCAGGACTAGATGGATTTACAAATTAATACTGTTAACTCAGAAAAATATTGACTCCAGTTTTATCCTGATTGTAAAATTAGGGAAAAGATAGCATCCTACCAGATTTCTTCTATGAGAAGATCCCAATACCTAAATCAGTAAGGGAGAAGTCGGAGAAAGAAAACTATAAGCCAGTATCTCCAGTGGATTTCAGTGCAAATATATTGAATAAAATATTAGCAAAGATGTTACAGCTGCATATTTAAAAGATTATGCACTTGACCAAGTTGGATTTATACCAGCAATGTAGGGTTAATTCAGTATTAGAAAACGAATAGACCATTTAAAAAATAACAAAAATCACATAACTGTATCAATAGATGCAGAAAAATTTTGACAAAATATACAACCCTCCTTATGTTCAGAACGTTAGAAAACATAGACCATAAGTGGACTTTTTCTTATGATGGCAAATGGTTTCTAAAACCAATAGCAAACATCTTCTGCAAGAGAGTATCACTAGAGGCCTTTCTAGTACTACTAGAGGTAAAGAAAGGTTGTCCTCATCACTTGTTTTTTCATACTGTTCTACAGATGATAGTCCTAAGACAAGAAAAAGAAATTGAAAATAGGCAAAGAAATAACAAAATTATATGCTTTTTGCAAATCATGTAGTAGTTTACTTATAGAACCCTAGAGATGTAACTAGAAAATTAATAGGAACAATACTAAAGTCAAGAACCAGAATTTAAAATAAACCTACAAAAATCTTAGGTACCCCCAAACAAAAATCCAACAGAGAGAAAAACAAATTTCATTCAAAATTACTTTAGAATATATAAAATATATAGTAATTCACTTTCCAAGACACGTGGAAATTATATGAACAAAACTGAAAATGCTAGAGAAATAAAAGGAAGCCTTAAATATTTGAGGAGGAATTAGTTGCTGGTTGTTGGAGTATGACAGTGTAATAATAATGACAATACTACCTTAAATAATTTACAAATTCCGTACCGAACTAAGCATATTACAAAGGATTACCTTTTAGAACTATAAGGAGGTTTAATATTAACATCTTAAACTATACTGCAAAGCTGTAATCATTACAACTATTTGGTCCTGGTTAAGAAAGAGAAAATTTGATCAATGGAATGACTAGGTACCCCATTATATTTTATGGAAGCAAAGTCTCATGTTCAAAGACGTCAAATATTAGGGTAAGTATTTAAATTCCACGAACCTGGAAAAATGGCATGCGATCTGGCAGAGATGAGGTTTAGTTTAACATCTTGCACCACATGCTTTATTGTGATAAGCTCAAAGTACATATATATAATATAACATACTATATATATAAAAGGTCATATATAAACAAATTGGGAAGCAGGGGAGAAGGGAACAAGTAAGAAAGGATCACAAGAGATAAAGTGAGCAGTTTTTATTACATAAAATCTAAGTTTTTGCACAAATAAAAGTGCTAGTTGTGACTGAAAGGAAACAACTGATTTTAAAAACTTCAAAATTTTCTGATGAAGATCTAATGTTCAAGATTTGTAGGGAATTGATACAAACGTATGAAAACAAGAGCCATCCCCCCAAGTAACTAAATGGTCACAGCAAACAGGAAATTTTCAATAGAAGAAATGCAAGTTAACAATCACTTGTAGAAAAATGTTTCAAATCACTGAATGAATGGAGCAGCATTTATTTTATTTTGTTTTTTGCAAGTGTTAACCACAGGGGCACTAGGTGATGCGGTAGGTAAAGCACTGGCCTCAGAGTCAGGAGGACCTGAGTTAAAATCCAGCCTCAGACACTTGACACTGTGTGATCCTAGGCAAGTCACTTAACCCCAATTGCCTCACCAAAAAGAAGAAAGTGTTAATCACAGTTTTACCTTTATTCTGGCTTTTAGAGACTAGGTGACCAGAATTGTAAAGTAAACCCTAAAACAGAAGTAAGTTTTGGAATAAATATAAGCTCTCCTGGGGAGGAATGAAGTGGGGGGGGAGGAAATGGGGTCACCATCTTGAATTTGCCCCTCTGGCAAGTTTAGTGAAATAGCCAAGAAACTCCTCTTGACTCTCCAGAGTCCGCTGGTGGCTTCATCGCTGCAGCTTTGACCCCCTCCTCTCCCCTACTCCGTCCATGGCAATTATGCTCTGCAGATGAAACAGTATTTATCAAGAGCTTACTGTATGCCGGGCAGTATATCAAGTGCTAGGTCTACAAATATAAGCAAACAAGGCAGTCTCCCTCCACAGGAACTTAGATTCTAATGGTAGTGAAATTGCACATTGAATAGAGTACTAGACCTGAGTTCAAATCTGGCCTCGGACGCTAGCTGTGTAACCCTGGGCAGGTCACTTAACCTCTGCTTCACTTTCTTCACCTGTAAAATGTAAAATGAGGTTAATAATAGCACCTACCTTCCAGGGTTGTTGTGAAGATAAAATAAGCTAATATTTGTAAAGTTTTGTAAACTCTAAAGTACAATTTAGATGCCAGCTATTATCCCTAGAAATGAGAGGATTATGCACAAAATACACAGTTTGGAAGCAGCCAGGAAGAAATAAGAGAAATGAAAGTAATTCTGAGGTTTCATCTTACTTCCATCAGGTTAGCAAAGATAACATAAGAAAAATTTAAATTGCTTGATGGTTATGCAAAATAATTGTATAGAATTAATTACAAACGATTCCTTATAAATAGCTTAGATAGCTAGAGGAATATTCAGTGCTCATGGCTGGGTCATGCCAATAAAATAAAATGACAATTCTACTTTTTATACTAATCAAACTATCAAAGGGATACTTTATAGAACTCAATAAAATAATAAAGTTCATTGGAGAAGCAAAAGACCTGGAATTTCAAGGAAAATAATACAGGAATGAATGAAGGGAGAATAGAACTTCCAGACCACAAACTATGTTGTAAAGCAGCAGTCGTCAAAATCATTTGCTATCAGTTGAAAACTAGAGAATTAGATCAATGGAATAGACTAGACCAGGGAAAAACAATGGACCTCAATGATCAAGTGTTGGCTAAATCGGAAAGCTGGCTAGCTCTATTGGTGATGTGAGCAGTTCCCATGCATGATTACCTTTATGTAAATGATTCCCAGATCTATATCTACTGCCCCAGGCTCTCTCCTGAATTACAGCCCTGGGTCTCCATTTGCCTTTTGGACATCTTGAACTGGATGTCCTACAAACATCTCAAACTCAGCGTGTTCAAAACAAAACTCAAGGGCAGCTAGGTGCTGTAGTGGATAGAGCGCTGGCCCTGCGGTCAGAAGGACCTGAGTTCAAAGCCAGCCTCAGACACAAACACACAGCTGTGTGACCCTGGGCAAGTCACTTAATCTCAATTACCTCGCAAAAAAAAAAAAAGGCAAAAAAAAAAAAACCCAACTCATCTTCACACACACCCCGGCCCCCATCCTCTTCTGAACTTACTATTCGAAGGAAACACTTTTTCCTGTTACATAGGCTTACAACCTCAGTGTCATACTAACTCTGTATTCGTTCACCCTACACATTATTCTAAAAGGCTTGGGCCAGTTATAGGCTATTAGAGTGGCAAATTGGGATGAGACAAATTTTGCTTACCATTTTTATTTTAATGCCCAATAACATAAATGCATTTACTCAAGTATACAGAAATAAGTTTGGTTTTTGTGCTCATGTGCTTACCCAGTTTACCATTCCAACAACTTACAAAGAAGGCCACTCTAAGCAACATTCATTGGGAATGGGGGATGAGCTGGGGCTCTCCAATCTTACCAGACTGAACCCCAACTCCAGAATGAGATTGGACTTTGTTACTTGCACACACACACAGGTAGATGGAAAAGAGAGTGGATTGGGCAAGGGGAAAAGCCATTGGTCCCCAGGGTTTCAAGTGGCATATATGGGCCAGGAAAAGCTCAGGCCATAATGACTTGTACCTCTTTTAACTTCTCCAGAACTTTTCTTGCTGCTTATATAAATTGTTCTTACTGCCTTTCTTCTGTTATATCAAGTTTGAAGTCAATGCCCCAAGAAAGCATGCTGCTTCCCCACCCCCTCCATTTTCTTAAATATTAAATTTATGACAATTTTATGGAAACCTTACAGCAGATTGGAAGTATGGATTTGAAATCAGAAGACTTATTTGACTTTCATAAAGAAGGAGGAGGAGGGGAAGAAATAATTAGGGAATAGGATTATAGGGCTCTATAGTCCCTTTCAGATTTAATTCTAATGAAATGATTGGACTGATAGAATGGGATTAGTGAATACCTGTTGAGGTTTCACTGAGTAATAGGAAAGTATTAAAGGTTTCATACAAGCTATCTTTTTTTATGTAGATATAAAATGTCCAATTCATTCACTTTTTATAAGAACTCAATATCTAATCCACTGAATACAATTTGTCAAATCATAACTATACATTTAAGAAACATTTAAGTTCTATATTATGCCCAGTTTAAGACAGTCTAATGGAAGTGAAGAGTTGTGTGAAATAATAGAACAGTTCAGTGGTGGGAGAATTAAGTACAAGAGGGGAAGGGAAATAGATCGTAGGCCTTCATATTAGGTCTTCTTATCTCCTCCCTTTGAGATATGTCAGCTGATTCACCATTACTTGAAAATTCCTGTAATCTGCAAAACTTCAGGAGCTCTCCCTATAAATTCAGCAACCAGAGTAGCCCATGGAATGGCAATTACACCCAAAGAAATAACATTGGGAACGAGAAAAGCATCTAATCCTGGGCAAGAGGTTGCCCAGTCCTGCATTAAATAGAATATATTTCTTTTTTCCCTCCACTTAGTAGTATTTTATTTTTTCCAA